GGATTTAACTTGATTAACACCTGCACAGAAGCATTTCCATACTGACAGTATGTCTGTATTCAAGTGTTTTGGTAGGTATTTCAAGCTTTCCTGCTCCAGCATTGGAATGCCGGGCATGGACGTTTTTTTTTTTATTTTTGAAAATCAACAGTTTGCATTATGCAATTAAAAATCCTAACCAATAAAGTAGGGAATAGCTATCCAACTGTTGTTTTAGTTGTATTTTACTTCATATTATAGTTATATCAATGTAAATCATTGTTTTCCCTTGTGTTTCTCATTCTTTCCCTGCCATGTGGTAAAATGTGGTGAACCCATCGCTGTATTTGCTCCAAAGCAAATATTGGCCTTTCTAGTTTTTTATTTTTTTTCGCCCGCCCGCTCCATTATTTTTTAGAAAAATCCGTTAACCAAGAAATTAAATTGGTGTGGCCTATTAGGTATAGTTCATCATTATTTCATGTACTTCTGGCACATATTTGCAACAAACATATTCAATATTTTGATTTAGTCTATTTTAGAATATCTTTAATGATCAGTTTAAGGAGCAAGGAAACATCCTTTGGTACAAGGTTGGGCGCACACAAAACACCATCAACTGCCACCATCAATTCTTCCAAAACAAATAGATCATATTTAATTATGTTTACCGAAGGAAAACATATTGTTTTTGCTGCGTTTCCTCTTCTTCTTCTCCAAACAGTAACCTCTGACCTGACTGAACCAGACTGTGTCTGAATCTTAACAGAATCTGACGATGGTAACTGGTGTTGGGTTACCTAATGTTGCAAGTTTATAGTAGGAGTGATTTAGACTCCTGTCTGTCACTATGTATGTGAATGTGTATGAGTGAGAATAAACAGAGCAGACCATATGCGAAGGTAAACATTATGCATTTGCTTTGCAAATGTTAAATTTCTAGTTTTATATAATAATTTAGGGATCTCCCCAAGCAGCAAGGGTGCTCCCCCTCTCCATAAAATTCGAGCACCCCTCCCAAATTGTTCAAATTTATGGGTTTCTCTTAGTATTGTCATGAAAATTTGCTGATTTTTTTCATCAACTGATTAGGGAGCACCTTTCCCCAAAGAATTTCTGGGGAGACCCCTGATAAAATAATATTGTATACAACATCACTCACCATGGATATAAAGTCGATAGGTTCCTTCTCAGTCAGTCTCTTCTTTAAACTGCTTCTCCTTAGCCTGTTGCTCAGTCAAGGGGCTGCTCAGCAAGTCCTGAAACAATCAGAACATTACAGGTAATGACAATCAGATACTGAAATACCACTGGTTTAGACAGATATAGATTCCATTCCCTAGCTAGAAGCTGTTTGGCAGTAACAGAAAAATTTTGCTTTCGATATGATATGACAGCAGCTATTCATCTCAGGCCCTGAGATATCGCCCGCTGGGCATTCTAGTGAAAGATAGCCGGACATGAATGCAGGGCTCGAAATACATTTTTGGGAATAGGTGCACTGATGCACCCAAACTAAAATACCATTGCACCATACACAACAAAACCTTAAATTACAGAATCTTACTGCTCCTCTTCTAAGCTTGAATATGAAATGGGAGCTAACTTCAAAATCTTACAGAACTACTACAACAAAGATTTTTTTTTTTCTGACAGATTCCAAGAATATCCTGTATAGTACATGTTTGTATTATACATTTAGTTTGTAAAAAAATACGTACAAAAATATTTGGGTGCACTGGTGCACCCACAGAAATAAATTGGGTGCACAGCTCCAACTTTGGGTGCACTATATGGTGCACATGCACCCAGTATTTCGAGCCCTGCACAGACATGAAGGCATGTAAGTATAATCCCAGATGACACATTGATCAGTTTTGCTCCGAGTACCCCGGAATTGTGCGATTCGCTTTCACAAATCCATCAATGGAAATAGATTGCTACATACACACTCTTAGTCCTAAATACTACGAAATGGATGGTGATGATGATGAATGTTTGGGAAAAGTGCCAAAAATGATCTAACTTGTAACAGTCACATCATGAGAGCACCAAATTGTCAAAGAAAAGACGGCATAATATTTCCCAGGTGATGTCTGATTCGATCGCATTTGGACCAATCGTATTACCTGGATGTCTGTAACCTTCACCGACGTAAGGACCAATCAGTCAAAAGCAATCCGTAACCACATCAGAAATGTCACACAATGAGGGATTGCCGGGCACGTATAGCCAAATCAAAGGTGGTAGGGCCTAATCCTAAATCGACTTTCCACAAAAAGCTTCTATGCGCTTATGATTTAGAAAAGCATCGTAAGCCATTATAGATGCAGGTGTATCCTGGGGACATGGAACCCATGGGATAACATTTCTACTAGCTTCCTGCCAGATCTAGGACATAGAATTCACACTTACAAAATGTCTTTTGAGAAATAAAATGGTTACCACTGGTGTACAACAATGCATCAATCCAGAGTCAGAATCATTCATTGCATGTACATGTAGAGTATCCAATACCCGTTGTGCATGGTAACTTCATTTTTGCAAAGTCAACTTTCAGGGGAGCCCCGCTAATCTAGATCTGAAAGCACAGCAGATTAGTGTAAAATGAAATCATACCACTCTGATCAAGGATGGCAAAGTAAGATGAATTTAGGTACTAAAGTTTTGAAATGGAGATTCAAATCTTCCAATAGAGCTGTCATTATAAAATTAATGTCATTAAACAATAATTGTTGGGCTATTTCACATCAAACATTAAAATATCTAGGGCACACCTGCATAAAATTCTTCCTTAGGCCACACCAATTAAATTTCTTGGTTAACGGATTCGCCCGCTTCATTTTTTTCTGATTTGCAAATAAAAATAAAAACTAGAAAGGCCAATATTTGCTTTGGAGCAAATACAGCGATGGGTTCACCACATTTTACGACATGGCAGGGAAAGAATGGGAAACACAAGGGAAAACAATGATTTACATTGATATAACTATAATATGAAGTAAAATACAACTAAAACAACAGTTGGATAGCTATTCCCTACTTTATTGGTTAGGATTTTTAATTGCATAATGCAAACTGTTGATTTTCAAAATAAAAAAAAACGTCCATGCCCGGCATTCCACTGCTGGAGCAGGAAAGCTTGAAATACCTACCAAAACACTTGAATACAGACATACTGTCAGTATGGAAATGCTTCTGTGCAGGTGT